GAATTTGTGCTAGAAATGATACAATTCATAGGAAAAACCAAGGCAATCTTTGCTGCAGATACTAATAATAAAACAATCAAGAAAAATAAAGATATATGAAAATTCTATAAATTTTCAAGAATCATCTCAGCAGAGATAAGTAAAGTATTTAAAAACAAAGCAAAACTGAATTGTGTTCCCACAGGGCAAGAATAGGGTTGCTTATAACACAGGTATATTAGGTATAAAGTAATCTTCACCTACTGAATTAATGCACAATCTTCTCAAATTTTTCTTCCTAAAGTCATTGTGCAGAAAGGGAAAGAAGTCTGAAAGTTTAGAAATTATTTCAGCTTCCCTAACTGTATTTCCAGCAGGCTTAAAACACACCAGAGACAAAAATAAAATGGAAGGGGGAGAAACTACTGAAGTATTTAACAATGACACTGAAATAAGAAAAGGTAAGTAAAAATAATAATGAGTTTCAACTATATAGCTATATTACAATTTTTTAAAATAGATGGTGTAATATTAAATTATCTCTACAGTTCTTTGCAAAGCTACTCATAACCCTATGAATCTTAAATGTAGTTACAGAGAAGTCACATTATTTCTCAGCAGATAATCTTACAGCACCATCTTCTGGTATCAAATTACTACGCATATTCTAACAATCAGAAAATAACAATCATGTTATTTTGCCAGTTCCATTTAGTAAAAGTTGCAGTAAGCTAAATTTAAAATTCAAGCTGTAACAACAAACTGGGTAACTACAGAAGATGTCCCCTGTCAAACAAGGACAGAGGTTATCTAGCACTGGTCTCATCACATTCAACTGGAAGAGGCAAGACTTAATTGAAATCAAGATTTTGGAAAGGTTCAGAAGATGAAGGTCTAAAACTACTGTGTTCATCGCACTGACAGAATACAAAAGTGGCAGGTATTATCAGGCTTCTAAGATGGAAATGCTGGCACACAGTAATGACATGGCCCATAAGCAGTACTACTGCCTACACCAAAATAAGAGAAAACTCTAAATGAGGGAGGAGATTTATGTCAGACAAGTAGAAAGGAGAAGCAAATAACAATTTAATTGTTTAACCCAGAAGCTATAAGAAAAACATGACAAATTTATACACATACTATATATATATACATGTGTGTGTGTGTGTATATATATATATATATTCATTTAATGAAAAACATTATACCCCTTAATGTTTCATTTAGTTCTACCAAGACATAAAGGGATAAGTAGTATGTCTTATATCCCTGCCCAGAAAGCTAACAGTGGGTGTTTGCTCGGAAGTTGCTGTTTTTAGATTCATTAACCACTGACTAAGTGCCAGGCTCTGTACTAAGCATTTTTAAATGGATGTCTTTTAAACTAACAACCTAAATAAGTCTGGCTCACTATTTCTTGGATGAAAGAGCTGACATTTGAAAGTTAACTAACTGGCTAATGGTTCAGCTGTGCACAAGTAGCAAAGTTACACATAAAGCCTAACTCCAAACCCTGCAAACTACAATGACTTGCAACGTACCACATACAACTAATTTACATGAAACTGTAAACGGCAGAACATCTTGGTTAAATAGTAGAACATACTGATGTATTCGGAATGTACAGAGAATAAACTCACTCACTGATTCCACAATTTGAGAGATTAGAAACAGGCCTGGGTTGTTTTTTGTTTTTCTAAATTAACTTCTAATAGCACCACAACAGCCAACATTTAATATGTGTCAGCCACTGTTAGAATTTATTTAATCCTCATAAGAGCCCTGAGCTATTGGTACTATCATCATTACCATCTTACAGATGAAGAACTGATGCTGAAGTTCAGAGTTGCTCAAAAGTTACCCACATCACAGAGTTACTAACTGAGGTGCCAGGGCTTAAACCAGATCAACAGGCCGCAGGGTCTATGTCTTAACCAAAACTTTGTATTGGCCCTGGATATGCCATACTTTAGATTCAAGTGTTCTGTGTTTATACAACTACAAAATAACGACTCTCTCCAGGAATGACGAGCTAGGGAGATGACGTTCAGTACTTCACCGTGATGCCATCTGGCTGGACCTACTGTAATACTGCACTACACAGAAAACTGCCAACATACTTTCCTTCGGTTATTCTAGATAAGGACAAAAATTCTGAATAGTTCAATCTAATTTCTAATAGAAGAAAATAAACTGGAAAGCAATCAATTTAGAGAGAAAAAGAACAATGTTAACTGATAACCCGTATTGGTGACTTACCTTGAAATACTTCCTTCTCATCCGAGTCATGTTCATCAACATAACTCCGGAGTTTACTCCAGTTTTCCCATAGTACGGATGTCTGGCAAAGCGATTGTACCACCCTATCCGAGGTTCCTCATGTTCGGGCGCCATTGCGGCAATTTGGGTGGAATTGAATTTCTTTAGTAAAGACCAAATGTCATCAACAGGCCGTAAAAAAAGGATGTCAGTGTCGACATACAATAATGAGTCAACTTCTTTCAGGATTAACTACGAGGAGAGAGATTTGAATCATTAATTATAATTCTACTTATTTAACAAAAACATAAAAGGAGTCTTAGTTACAGAAGAGGTAAATTAATTTTCATTCATTTTTTTTCTTCTTGTTTTTAGAAAGAGATTTTTGCTATGGGTGTGTACGCTCTTTGGAGAGATAGAAAGCAAGAAATCACACACACACACACACACACACACCTCCTCTGGGAGGGAATGGCCACACTGCAATCCCTTCTCCTCCATTCTCCTCTTGGGATTTTGGGCACGCATGCACACACACCTGGACTGAGTTTAAAGTCGCTGGGTCCAAGACTCAGACCATGGTCGGCCATGTGAGAGTCCAGGACCTTAACCATTAGGTCACCTGCTGGCCCCTCATTAATTTTTTTAAAGTAATTTTTCCTATATCTGCCATTTTTGACAAACAGCATACATAAGATACTGTGTCCATCTTTATTATTAATTTTTTACATAAGAAAAGTTATAAAAATAAATAAATGAAACAAAAACCTTAAAACTAACAACTAGAAGAACAGATACATCAGGGAGAAAATGTTTTCCATAATGGAAAATAACATTAACTTGGGTAAATTTCTCTTAATCTCTTGAGATAACACAGAAATAAGCCAATACGAAAGCAGATCTGAACGTGTTCGCTCGGCCTGTAGAACTGGCACCTTTACGTTATTTCAGTGCCAACTAGTAAGTGGTGGAGCCACCCTGGAGCCCAGGCCATCTGGCTCCAGAGTTCGCGCTCTCAGCTCTGTGCTTCCTGCCTCACGACGAAACAGGGGAACGACGCAGTACACAAGGTGAAGCCAAGGCTTGTCTCAGAAGGAAGACTGGCATATTGAACGTTTTCAGAAAAATCTCTACCATATGCCTTCCACGTGCAATTTTAAAGGTAACATTTTATTTCTGCCTTACCCACATACTTTAGAATCTGACTCTTGTAATTTTAAACTTACTGCCTATTCTGATTTTTAGTAGTTTCAATGGCTTAGATTAACCTAAATCTTTGTAGTAAAAAAATAACAAGAACAAAAGCTCGAGCCTCATTCTGCAACTTTTCTGGGTTTTTTTGTTTCTTTTTTTGTTTGTTTGTTTGTTTTTTCATTTGCCAAAGACATGTATTTACCAGAGAAACAGAGATAGAGGGAAAGTGAGAAAGCTCTCCCCATAGGGAATGGTTATACCATAATCTCGTCATCTCTCCCTCCTTTCGGTATTTCTAGGCACACATGGACAGGGCCTGACATGTTCCATTCATTCTTATGCTTCTAGCACTTCAATAGAAATCACAGGCAACCAGTAGGCATTCCCATACTAATTAAATGATTGTGATACTGCAATTCAACATAAAATTTATTTAAAAAATTTATAAAGCCAGGGCCAGAAGGTGGTAAGGTGGGTAAGGTGGTAGATTCCACATGGTCAACCATGGTTCAAATCCCGTACCTGCTGGCTTGAAAATCATTCCAGGCATGTGTGCATCTGCCCAAAATCCTGAGAGGAGAGTATAAGAGAAGAAAAGGCAGTGTGGACATCCCCTCTGGGGTGTGATTTCTCACTTTCCCTCTCTGTCTCTCTCTGTCTCTCTCCTCTCCAGTGAGCACATATGCCCTCAAAAAAAAAAAAAAATTAAAAAGCCTATATGAAATACCTAAAACCTCTTAAAACTTTTTTCCAACTTTTATTTTTTTAAAGACGGGGTCTTCCCATGTTGTGATCCTCCTCCTGCCTCAGCCTCCCAGCTGGGACTATAGGTATGAGCTAGCACACCTACTCTTATTGAGACAGGACCTTGCTGTGTTGTCCAGGCCTCATAGCTCATGTCTTCCTGCTTCAGCTTCCTGAACTGCTGAGGTTATAGAAGTACATAATAGCGCTAGGCCTTGAGGTTGTATTGGGAACTAACTCTACACCTCCCATGTATTCTCACCCTATGGAGCAGAGCGTCCACTTGTCCTACCACAGCTTGACTCTTTTGCAACCTTAATTCCTACGTGTGTAATTTTACAATGGAAGGGAAGAGTGAAAAAGATCCTAGAATCCAAATTTTTTTGGGGGGAGAGGCCTTTTGCTATAGGGTGTGTGCACTCATCAGAAAGACAGAGAGACAGAGAGACAGAAAGTGAGAAATCACCCCCCAAGGGGGATGGAAATGCCACAATCCCTCCTCCTCTCGGGATCTTGGGCACACACACACACACACACACCCAGTGTAAGTTTAAGCCACCAGGTCTGGGACTCGAACCACAGTCGACTACATGGGAGTCTAGTGACACAGCTATTATGCTAACTGCTGGTCCCTAGAATCCAAATTTTTAATACACAACAACAAAAACACTGGTTAGGCAGACTTGGCTATCAAAACATAATTTACTGACATCCTGCATTCAATTTAAACTATGTTATTAAAATGCTAAGGATTGCTTTAACTCACTTAACCATGATAAGTAACTAATGGCTCTTCCCCATAATTCATATGTATTCCAAAAACTTGTGGGCTTCTTAAATTCAATATTTCCACTGCCATCAGAATGTTTTTACTTACTTTTTTTTTTTTTAACTGACAATACCATAAGCATTTTAAGTATCACTGTGGTCTGAACAAACTACTGCCAATTTTAAGACCAAGAATGAAATCAGTTCAAAATGGAAGAAGCAATCTTGCTACACAGTATTTGTAAGTTAAAAAAAAAAAAATCAGAGCTAGCAGGTTGTGGTTAAGGCACTGGACTTCCATGTGGCTGACTGTGTTTTGAGTCCCTGACCTAGTAGCTTGCTTTCTCACCCTCTCTCCTTTTCTCTCTCCTTTTCTCCCTCTCTCTCTCTCTCATGCATTCTCTCTCTAGTAGAGTGGAAGAATAATAATATATAAAAATTAAAAGTAAATAATTAATTTTTTTAAATTCAGGTTTATCATCAGAGACCAACACCAAAGAATAGACGCACTGAATAACTGGTTCCCATTTTCTCTTTGAGGTCACACACCTTAAATTTTGCATCTATGTCTAAGTTAGAAAAGGCAACTTGGGGGAACCAGCAGTTAGCGTAATGGCTATGTCGCTGGACTCCCACGTAGTCGACCGCTCACACACCTTAAATTTTGCATCTATGTCTAAGTTAGAAAAGGCAACTTGGGGGACCAGCAGATGAACTGACAGTTGCATCGTTGGACTCCCATGTGGCTGACCACAGTTCAAGTCCTCGACCTGGTGGCTTAAATCTCACGCCGGGCGCGTGTGCGTGCGTGCCCAAGATCCCGAGAGCAGAATGGAGGAGAAGGGATTGCGGCGTGACCATCTCCCCTGGGGGGTGATTTCTCGCTTTCTGTCTCTATGTCTCTCTCTGTCTGTCTGGCGAGCGCACGCGCCCTATAGCGAAAATCACTCTTAAAAAGAAGAAAGAAAAGGAAAATTGACTTGGTCTAAGAGATGCAGTGTGTCTCATTTCCCAAATTGTAACTGTATTCTGCAACTTGATGGTAATATTGCCATTCCGCATTTCTGCTGGCTCCATTAAGATCTGACCACCTCTTAGAGACAACAATTCATAGCAACTAAATAAATTGTTGAGTTATTGGAAAAGTCATGACATATCTTTCAGTTTTTCTATGCAAAAATGCATCATGACTTTTCCGATGACCCAATAAAATATAAGAAATGGTATTCAGAAATTACTGAACTTTTTTCATTTTTGGCAAGAATCTTTATTACAGTTTTAACCTTGTTTCTCAAATTCAAAAGGAAAATTGGAAGTACATACAAGCATGTGTATTTATTTACTTATTTCTTAATATTCAGCTGGATTTTTATGTAACTCTTTGGAAACTCATCTGTGTAAAAATAAGGGTCAAACCAATAAAACAAAACAAAACAAAACAAAACAAAACAAAAAACTTGGGAAGAAAAACTTACTGGCAAGAACAACCTCTGGGAAGCACAGGGCTTAAAGAGCTTTTTCCACTCTGCTGCATTCTCACTTGGAAAAGTTATGGGGTATAATGTGTAATTAAATGTTTGTAGAAATGACCAGCTGTCAAGCTGAAAAATAAAAAAGCAAACAAAAATCCAGTTTAGATCTGTTTTCCTTAAATGTGATCTGTAAAATCATAAACCAACGCATTATGAAACCATAGACATTATACATTTTATACTATACAGTTAAGATAATGTCAGATTCATCTTTTCCACCATTCCCTTTGTTTAATTTTCATTCAAAATGTAAAAATCATAATATGCCAGAAAGACTTCACCATTAAGATCTGAACGACAATAGAAGTTTTCAGGGTATGAATCTCAATATTAGAGAGTTGAAAGAACCCTGTAAGTATTCATCTTCCTCAGCTTTACTTCATACATAAATTTTTCAATTCTGAAACAAATTAAAATCAGAGACATTGGGACGAGCAGATGGCATAATGGTTATATCACTGGATTCCCATGTAGTCGATCACCATTTGAGTCCTGGACCTAGTGGCCTAAAATTCACACCAGGAGCACGTGCATGTAAGCCCAAAATCCCAAGAGGAGAATGGAGGAGAAAGGATTACAGCATGGCTATCACCTCGGGGGGTGATTTCAAACTTTCTGTCTCTCTCAGCACACTTGGCACACGCCCTATAGCAAAAATCTCTTTTAAAAAAATATTTAAAAACTAGGCACTAATTTTATTACCATAGAATAAATTATATTAATAGAAAATTTTTACATTTGAAGTAAATACAAAATGAGACTGGTTAAAATATATGTCTATCTGTATATAGTTCAATGTGTATGGATATTTCTAATAATAAAATATTTTTAAAGGATTATTTTATTTAACATTATTATTTTATTGAAATTTGACCAGAGAGGGAGAGAGAGAGGAAGAGGGTTAAGAGAGAGAGAGAGAAAGTGAGAAAGCAAGCTGCCAGGTCCAGGACTTGAACTGTAGTCAGCCATGTGGAAGTCCAGCCCTTAACCACCACGCCACCTGCTGGTCTCTATTTCTGATAATAAAATAGTCTAATAAATGCATATCTAATACCAATTTAAAAAATCATTACAAAAAAGCAAAATGGATCTTAAAACCTATAATAAGCACATTTACTTTCTAGTATCCTGCATCCATTTCAAGACACTAAATTGTTTCAAGTTCATTTTAAATATTACTATCTTTGTTGCTTCAATAGAATTGTTAAGTCACATTTCCTAAAAAGCACTTGGAAACAACCCATGGGATCTGGAAGTTGTTGTAATAGGCTGAAGATGATCTCTTTTTGAATTATGACTATGTTCAAGCAATTTTTAAAATATTGATATCTTCCAGCATAGTTTAAGGAAACACCTTTATTTCCAACACTCTGCTTTAATGTCTGCATTAATTATTTTAAAACAATAGCACTTTTGGCCAGCTCCAAAGCCTACTGGCTAAAGGAGTCATATCCCACAAGGCTGACTACAGTTCAAATCCCAGCCCAGGCAGATTGAAAAACATGCTGGGCACAAGTATACATGGTCAAAATCCTGAGAATATGAAAAAAAAGGAGAAGGGATTATTGTATGAACATGTCCCATTTATGAGTGGTTTCTCGGGACCAGCAGTTGGTGTAATGGCTTTGTTGCTGGACTCCCACGTAGTCAACCACAGTTTGAGTCCCGGACTTGGTGGCTTAAACTCACGCCAGCACGTGTGCATGAGTGCTCAAGATCCTGAGAGGAGGATGGAGGAGAAAGCATTGCAGCGTGGTGATTTCTCACTTTCTGTCTGTCTCTCTCTCTTTCTGGTGAGCACACGCACCCTATAGCAAAAACCTCTCAAAAAGAGTGGTTTCTCCCTCTCGCTCTCCCTCTCTCTCTCTACCGCTCTTTCTCTCCCTCTCTATCTCAAGCAATCTAAATAAAAAAAAAACATTAACACCTTTATTTTCTCTGCCCAATTTACAATCACTTAAAGATCCTTTTGGAGGACCAGCAGATGGCTTAATGGTTACATTGCTGGACTTCCATGTAGTTGTGGTCTGAGTCCCAGAACCAGAGGCTTGAAACTCAGGCTGGGCACGGGTGCGTACATGCGCAAAATCCGAGAGAATAGAGAAGGGACTGTAGCATGGCCATCTCCCTTGGGGGGGTGATTTCTCACTTTCTGTCTCTTTGTTTCTGTCTCTCCTGTAACACACATGTCCTATAAGAAAAATCTCTCTTTTAAAAAAATATTTTTCAATACCAACTTCCAAATGAAATTTTAGTCATTCTTCATGTAACATAGTATTTAATTATCTTCTTTAAACTAACAGTATGTTCCACAAAACAATCTTATAAATTACTATTATAGGGACCAGTGGATGGCATAATCATTGCATCACTGGACTTGCATGTGGTCGACAGCAGTTCGGGTCCCTGACCCAGTGGCTTAAGCTCACACCAGGCACGTGTTAAGTGCATGCCTGGGATCCCAAGGGGTGAGTGGAGAGGAGAGGACTATGGCGTGAGTGTCCCCTCCCGGGGGGGTGGCTTCTCACTTTCTGTCTCTGAGTCTCTGGTGAGCACATGCGCCCCATAGTGAAAATCTCTTTCTGAAAAAAAGAAAGAAATTATTACTATAGTCAAAGAAAAACTAAGTTAAAATATAGTATGTTAAATAAGCAATATTCCATCAGGTTTGAACACAACACAAAAGTTGCATCTAAGATGAAACAATAAATATTTTATTTTCTTATTACATTTTCAAAGGTTTCCACCATTGGTAGCAGTCCATCATGAAAGTTAAACAGTTACAACAAATATACGTGTGTAGATATATATATATATATATTTTGAAATATTTTTGCTATAGGGCGCATGCATTCGCCAAAGAGACAGAGAGAGACTAAGGGAGAGAAAGTGAGAGATCATCCCCAGGAGGATGGCCACACAGCAATCCCTTCTTCTCCATCCTCCTTCTGGGATCTTGGGCATGCACGCACATGCGCCTGGCATGAGTTTCAAGCCACCAGGTCTGGGACTCAAACTCAATTGACCATGTGGGGAGTCCAGTGCCTTCCCAGCACACCACCTGCTGGTATGTAAATATTTTAGTAATAGATAAAACTTTATATCTCTTGGAAGCAAAGATTTTGGCAGAAAATTTAAACTTTAAACTGAAATCACAAGTGGTATTTTTTACTTAATATGCAAAATGATCTTATATAACTTGAAAAGAATAACACATACATTTTTTACAGTTACACCAAGCATGAATATCTAAATCAGTTCAATAGCTTAATGCAGTGTGAACAGAAAGACAGAGAGAATAATCATTTACATCATCTTTACTTCTCTCTCAGAAAATAAGACAGTGTGACTTCAGGGGAGTTTTCTTTGTCTTATATTCTTTCTTCCCTATATCTGTTCTCCTCTTTTTGCACAATGACAATTTTGTCTTGTTCTTGTTAAGGAGGTTGAAAGGCTTCCCCAATTAGAGTATATTTTCCACTCTCACTAATAGCTGGATATGGTCATATAAACAATTGTGACCAATGGTCTATGACTTCTGGAAAGAGTCTTGAAACAGAATGGGGCTGCCCATATCCTGGTGGTTATGAGAACTGGATCCCATATGACTGACTGTGCAGTTCAAGTCCCAGACTCAGCAGCTTGAAAAACACACTGGGCTCACGTATATGTGCCCAGATTCCCAAAAGATGGGAGAAATGGAGGAGAAGGGACTGTGGCACAACCATTCCCCAAGGGGACACTTTCTTGCTCTCCCACCCCAACCCCCTCCCTCCCGTCTCTTTCTGGCAAGTGCACATGCCCTCTGGCAAAATGTTAAAAGAGAGAGAAAGAGAAGGAGCAGCCTTTCCTCTTCACTTCTTTGTCTCCTAATACTGTCTATAATATTAGTTACATAATATGAGATACATAGCTGGAGCTTCAGTAGCCATTTTGGACCATGAGGCAGAAGCCCCTGGTTGCAGATGGCTTAACTATGGGCCCAGAAGGTGAAGAACTACTTTATCCCTCACTGCTTACTTTAATGAGAAAGAAAGAAACTTCGTTCTTGTTCAAACCGCTGTTATTTTGGTTTACCTGCCATAGCAAACAAATTGATTGTACCTAATTAAGTAACTTTTTTTTATCACAGGAACACACTTTCCTCCATATTATCGATCAAGAGTTCCCTCTCCTCAAAAGGGGACTGAACTGAAACCTCTGTGTACACTGGGACTGAGGCACTCCCAAGCTAACAATGGCGGCAAAATTAAATTATAGACTTTCTCAGTGAAAACAACCTGGACTTAAAATAAACCCTCCATGCTTGGCAAAGGCTTTAAACAGCTTACTCCTATTTAAAAAGGGACCTTCTTACCTTGGACTCACATCTAATATAAGGAACACTCCTCACTCTAGGAGGGCAGTTACAGAATAAGGATTTTCATTAGTGAAGGAATAAAGCAGCATTCTGCTATAGTACACCGTTAAGTAGTCAACTCCACAATCTTGACTAAGTCTCAAATACTTACTATGCCTTTAAAGCTATCATGTAGCTGATCTTCTGCAAAAATATGAAACTGCAGAGGTTTGAGGCTGAAAATGAGAGCTGACTTCAACATGGTCATTGTTTCTTCCAGTCTTTCACCACAAGCAACTACAGCTAGGTGCATTCTCTCAACAGGCTGTATTTTCAGATTGTATCTAACAGGAAAGACAACAATTTTCCAAGACATTTAGTATAGGGTAGCATATGTACAACATATTTTTATCCTGTTCAAAAACTGAACTTTTAAACTTCAATTTTAAAAAAATACCAAATTACAAAAGAATACAACACTGAGTCACATATTCCTATACCCATCTTTCTCAATCAGCGTTCCTCAATAGGGACCACAGAACACAAAAAAATGACTGCTTGCTCAATTCTGCCAAGAATTCATAATCAGTACATTACAGATGCACAGAAGAGAAGCCAACTCATAACCCACACCAGATACCTTGGGGCATTAGGGCTTAAATCTCTCAGCAAACTCTAGTTGAGAACAGGGGCATCACCCATTTGAAGGTCTAACATTCAGTCTTTAAAAACTGCTTTATCGGGGCCGGCAGGTGGTGTGGTGGTTAAGGCACTGGGGTGGTTTGAATCCCGAACTTGGCACTTGCTTTTTCACGTTCCCTCTCTTATTCTCTTTCTCTGTCTCTGATGAGCACACATGCCCTATATAAAATTTTAATAATAATAATAATAATAAATAAAATTAAATAATGTTTAAAAACTATTTTATTTATTTAAAAAAAACTTTACAAACAAAGTTACAGAGAATAATACAGTAAGTTCCCATGTACTCATCTCCTAGCTGTAACAACTACCCATTCGAGGGCATTCTTATTACATCTAAAACCCTTTCCCACATCCCTCACATCAATCAACAGATCATTGTAAGGCAAATCTAGTCATAAATTCATACATAAACATTTCACTATTATGTCCAGTATTATAGCTCTTTTGATTTTAAGGAAACTTTCTTTCACATAACTGTTTTCACTGATACACGTTCAGTTCCATTTACAAAGTATTCGGCAAGACATAATAAGATAGTCTAAAATATGTCTTTTTGGTAGGGACAGCATGTGGCACAAAGATTAAGGCACTGATCCACATGACCAGCCTCATAGTCCAAGTCCCAGACCTGGAGGTTTGAGAGTCATTCTGGGCTCATATGTGTGTGTGCCCAAAAATCCCAAGAGGAGAGTGGAAGAGAAAGAACTGCAGTGTGGCCATCCCCCAAGGGGATGATTTTTCAGTTTCTCTTTCTCTCTCTCTCTCTCTTTCTCTCTCTCTCTGTCTCTCTTTCTCTGCCTAGTGCACATGCCCTATAGCAACAACCACCACAAAAAAAAAGGCAAGCCAATCTTTTTGGAAAGAAAGATTTCCTAAATCCAAGTTATTGGCCTAAGCTAAGCTATGTTAGAATCAACTTCAAACATAAAGCAGCAGTGTATAGTATCAGGCCTAAGAACCTTTCAAATATTTTGTACCAAACAACCCACTGATGCCCCTTCAAGGAACTAGAAGAGTGAAAACAAACCAAACTCAAAATTAGGAGAAGGAAATAAATGTTAAAGATCAAAGATCCAGTTGTGGTAGCAAGCACTGGTAGGTACTGCTATTTGGTAGGTTAAGGACACACAGGAGGACTGAATTTAATTCCTGGCCTACTCTTTAAAAATAAATAAATAAGGGCCAGTAGCTGGTATGGTGGTTAAGGTGCTGGACTCACATACGACAAATCCATAGCTTCTATCATAATGAATGGAAGAAAGTTGAGAGTTTTTCCTCTAAGAACTAGAGGAAGGAAAGGAGGTCCACTTTAATTATCTTTATTCAACACAGTATTAGAAGCACTGGCCAGAGCAATTAAATAACAGAAAGAAATAAAAGGCATCCAAATTTGAAAGGAGGAAGTTAAACTGTCCCTGTTTATAGAAGACATGATCTTATTTATAGAAAATCCTAAATTAAATACTCCACCAAAACATTGTTAGAACAAAACAGGATAAAAAATCAACATATGAACATCTGTAGCATTTTTATATACCAATAACTAGTTGAAAAAGAAATCAAGAGGGACCAACAGATGGTGTAAGGGTTAGGGCAATGGATTCCCACATGGGCAACCATGGTTCAAATCCTGGACCTGGAGGCATGAAACTCACACCAGCCACACGTGTGTGCATGCACAAAATCCCAAGAGGAGAATAGAATGCATTATGGCCATCTACCGCAGGGGGTGATTTCTCACTTTCTGTCTCTCCAACAAGTACACATGCCCTACAGCATAAATCCCTCTTAAAAAAAAAAATCGGGACCAACAGATGGCCTATTGGTTACATTACTAGACTCCCACATAGTTAACTGCAGTTCAAGTCCCAGACCAGGTAGCTTAAAACTCATGCCAGGCACGTATGCATGCATGCTCAAAATCCTGAAAGGAGAATGGATTGCAGTGTGGTCATCCTTCTGGGATGGGTGATTTCTCATTTGCTCTCTCTCTCTCTGTCTCTCTGTCTCTCTGTCCCTCTCTCTCTCTCTGTCTCTCCAGTGAGTGCATGCACCCTATAACAAAAATCTCTCTCTCTAAAAAAAAAAAAAAAAAAAAAAGTCAAGAAAGCAATCCTGGATTGATCCTCATGAACCCCTGGGAGTGGGCTTCACAAAGGAGCTCCCTTCTTCACCCCTGCCTCTAGCTGGACCTTTGGAGAAAGCAGATTTCAGGCCCTTCAGGCTAGATTAGAATGAAATCAGAAGGCTTGGAACAAGGGGAGGGGGCTGTGGAAGGAATCAGCCCACAAGCGCCCTGGCCGTCTATACCTACATCCCTCCCCCCCCACCTCCGAGACAAGTCAGAACAAATTCCATTGTCTTTGGAGAAGTGCTGCTAGAGACTGTGGGCATAACTGGATTTTCCTTTTAACAATTTGGTGTCAGAAGAGTGAGATCTGAAGGAGACCCTCTAGGACCTTAACTACTCAGGATTTGGGGCACACACTCACATGTGTCCAGCCTATTTTTCAGACTGCCAGGTCCTGGACGTGAGTAATTCAGCCATGTGAGACTCAGTTGCCCCAGCCACAGAGCCACCAATGGCTCTGCTCCAGGGAATTTTTAAATTCTTGCCTATTATTCTTAAAGTCACTATGCAAGGGGACTTCAAAAAGGTTGTAAAAAATGAAATTAAAATACAAGTCTATTTTGGTGCAAAAAATTCTTGAAATTCATGCACAGTTTTTTCCTAATATGCATTGTCAGGTGTGTTTTGAAGACCCCCTTCGGATTCACCTCCCTAGTGCACTGTATCCCTCAGGGGTTTAAATGCTTTCTAGCAGCCATTCATACAACATATGATTGTCACCAGAATCAGACAAGTGGGAGAACTCAACATCCTGACCACTCAAACCTACATTGACTTTGCAATTTTAGGGGGAAAAAAACCCAGCTCTTTTCCCTTCTATCCCCCAACGCAACTTTTGAGGATAACATCCAGATGACTCTTTGTTCAGTGACTACAACAATAATGGTAACCAAGAGCAACCCTATCCTGTTTGGTTACCCTCTCAGCTTGCTGAAAGGATAGCCAAAAAGAAGGATTGCTAAAATAGTGGGTTGTCAGAAAGGTCATGAAGCGTTTTTACATAGAAAAGCACAGAAAAAAGCACATCATGAGCTTTCCAAAGACCCAGACAGTGAGAGGGAAAGTGAGAAATCGCTCTCCTGGCGGAGATGGCCACACTGCAATCCTTCCTTCTCCATTTTCCCCTGAGGGTTTTGGGCACACATACACACACGCCCTGCAAGGATTTTCAAACCGCTGGGTCCAGGGCTCAAACCTCAGTTGGCCATGTGGGAGTCCAGTGCTTTAACCACCAGGCCAACTGCTGGCCCTCAAAGTGTACAGTTTTCAGAAGTTTAAATTTAGGGCCAGCCCTATAGTACAGAGGTTAGATGCTATGCATTGGGAATTGGATCCCACATGGATGATCACAGCTTGAACCCCAGCCCGGCAGCTTGAAAAACAAACCAGGCATGTATGTGTCCGTACCCAAAATCCTGCCAGGACAGAGAAATGGAGGAGAAGAAATTGCAGCATGACCACACCCCCTTGGGCTTTCTCCCTCTTTGTCCCAGTGCACATGCCCTCAGATGATTTTAAAAAAATGTAAATGAATCATAAAGATACAGTTTAAAAAAAATAAAAAACACGTGACTCTAAAATAAATTTTCCTCTTGGGGAAAGCATTTCAGGCAACTGCCCAACTCTGCTATGATCTAGACCATCTGAGCATTCCTTATCCCATTCCTATATACGCTTATTTTTCTCATTGAAGATTAAAGCAGGCAGGCACTGCAGAGGTCAGCCCATCCATACCCTCATACCCAGGGAAGTAAATAAGGCCAAATATCCAGTAACCTAAAAGGTCAGTAAAAAATGTCATATTTACTCCTTCATAAATCTCTACTAATAACCAATATAATATTTCTGCAATGGCCCCTATCCAACTATAAAATGTTTTTTTCAGTATACCAGCTTTTAGTTAGATCAGTGCTATAAACAGCTATAAATTTCAGTAGAAACCTATCTTTATCACTTGTTTATCACATGATTACCTGCTACCAAAATTAGAACATAAAAACTTCTAAGAACCAAGGTTTATCTTAATAATATCTAAAAAATAAAAAATAAAAAAAAACTAGAGTTTTATATGCAGTGTGTATTAAAAGTCAGAGGTAACTACCACAGAATGGGAAAAAGAAAATTCAATCAGAAATGAATTGTTTACTTGCATGGCAATATTTTAAATTACAGGAAAATAAACATTTTTACGCCCAAATAGTCAAAGACTTTATCCACTATCTAGTCTTACCTACACTGATCTATCAATTAAATATTAAGTGCCTACCTAAAAGCCGCTTCCCAAAAGCAGTTCATTCCACAAACATCAGAGGGCAGCATCCAATAGGGATTCCAGTAACACAGACAGAAATCTTTACACCTAACAGCAAGACAGAAATAAGAATCCTATGTGAGTATTTCAGTTTGGAACTAAGATGGAATTTACCCAGTAACACAATAACTTACTGTTCTACTTTCGCGCAACACAACTGCAAATCCAAGTTGCTAAGATAACTTCCAAGTTTTTGTTTTGTTCTGTTGAAATTTGATTTCTCTCTTACTTAGAGCACTGTTACTTTAAATAGAATTTTAAATCCTTTAAGCAGAACACAACACAGACTGGGAAAGTTTTCTAGTCCTAGTAAAATCTCCTCTTCAGATGACACAGACAAAAGAGGTCTTCCAATTTTTTTTCCATGGACCAGGCAAATTTTTCTAAAACAAAATCCACTGCAGTCAAACAAAATATTTGCTTATCCTGAAACAAAATGAAAATGCCACAAATGCTAGCGGGAAGGTAAGAGAGGATTTTTAAAATGCTTTTATATTACTCCTCAACCCAAACTACTTATACGATATTTTAGACTAAAACATACAAAAGCAGACTGATACTGATGGCCTAGTGCTATTATCTGTTCCTTCTCGGTTTCATTATGTTACACAAGCTATAATAAAATGGAGGATCAAGTACAGCCCTTTACCTTAGATTGCAGGTTGACACTAAGTAAGAAAAATAATACCTGACATTACAAAAAGTATGTTTTTCATTGTTATTCCTTTTAAAAACAATAGTCTGGAAACTCACTACAGTGGAAAGCTGGATTCTAAAGTAAACATATATGAAGCCAGGGTAAATCACTAAATCTAAGGCCACTTCATATCTCATCACTGGGTAGCTCTGTTTTCTCTCACTGCAAATTCAATGATAATTCATTGTTCTTCTATCAAAAGGTCTATGAACTTCTGGACTCGCAAAGATCTCTAATCACGCTTCTCACAAATGTCCACAGTCTAAGGCCCCTTTCACTAGACCCTTTTAAAGTATACAATTTGGTTGGTTTTAGTACATTCACAGAATTGCACAATCATGACCCACTCCTGCGTCTATACTCAGAACTGAAAACAAGTTGAACTGAAATAGACATACACGTTCAGAGCAGAATTATTCATAATAGCCAAAAAGTAGAAAGCAATCCAAATGTCCATCAACTAATAAATGAAAAAAATAAAAGGTGGTATTGACCATATAATAAAATATTATCTGTCCACAAAATGAAGTATAGTGATACATGCCTCAGTGGGTGAACCTTGAAAACATTATGCTAAATGAAAGCAGCAAAACTCGCATATGGTGTGATTCATTTATGTGAAATGCCCAGAACAGGCAAACTAATATGTACAGAAAAAAGAGATATGGCTTGCCCCGCTAGAGCTGAGAGACTGAGGGAGTGGAGTAAGGAGTTACTACTACTGGATACAGAGTTTGTTTTACTCATTTGATTAACTTTAGAAAGGATTAATATCTTGACAATAATTCACTGTCAGAAAATGCACAATATGTACAAAAGATATTTTCCTTTCTTTCCTTATAGAAATATAAAAATACATGCACTAGTGAATATACATGCTGCTTACCATTTTACAAGAAAGAAAGAAATGAGGAACCAGCAGTTAGTGTAATGGCTATGTCGCTGGACTCCCACGTAGTCGACCGCGGTTCGCATCCCGGACCTGGTGGCTTAAAACTCACACCAGGTGCGTGTGCGTGCATGCCCAAGATCCAGAGAGTAGAATGGAGGAGACGGGATTGCGGTGTGGCCATCCCCACTGGGGGGTGATTTCTCGCTTTCTGTCTCTCTGTCTCTCTCTGTATGTCTGGTGAGCGCACGCACCCTATAGCAAAACCTCAAAAAAAAAAAAAAAGAAAGAAAGAAAGAAAGAAAGAAAGAAAGAAAGAAAGAAAGAAAGAAAGAAAGAAAGAAAGAAAGAAATGAATAAGACACTGAGGGAGTACTGCACTAAAGTCCTTAAGATGTTACTATTAGGAAAACCAAGTGAAAGATATTTGCAACTTCATGTGAATTCTATTTCAAAATATGAAGTTTTATTGGTTTTCTTTTTTAAGTTTATTCATTCATTTATTTTAATTTGACCAAAGAGAGAAAGTGAGAAAGCAAGCCACCAGGCCTGAGACTCGAACCATGGTCAGCCATGTGGGAATGTCCAGCACCTTAACCACCACACCACCCACTGGTCCCTGGTTTTCTTTTTTTAAATAAAGAATAAACTAAAATTTTTAGTACTTGAAAAATGTTTCAAAGGCGTTTCAAAAACCGAGACATTCCATGCTCTGGATAAAATTAAGCATTTAACAGCAATGTTCATCACAGTAATAGTTCTCAAACTTGAAAAGGCTTTAAATGTAGTGACAGAAGATCTTTTATACCTTTAAATTAAACTGAAAAGGTACTTTTGAATTCAAAACATCCATGATAGTCATGAGTCTTAGTGAAAACCATGCAGGACTTAAAGTCAGGGATAAGTTTGGGCGTATCCCGTGTAAGAACGTGGCTATCTGAAGGAAGTGCTGCAAGACTGACAGTGCAATTTCAAGCCACTGATAACCTTCACAGGGACATGCCCAGGATCCTGCCAAACCACCAGCATTTAAGATCACAGCCTGGATCGCTCTTTTTCAACTAAACTGTCTCCACACAACCTAGATTAATTTCTAGGTCAAAGTCAGATCTTTTTCTTAAAATGCTAGTGTCATTAATTCTCAGTGAGTGGGAAAAGGACTATTCACACACAAATGGCAATGAAACAATTATCTGACCATTTAGAAAAAAGAAAATGGGGTGGGAGAAAACCAATCAGTGGCCTGGTGGTTAAGGGGGCAGATCCTACATGACCCACTGCTTGGTTCAAGTCCCAGACCGAGGAGCATGAGAACCATACTGTGTACTTGTGTGTAGATGCCCAAAATTCTGACAGGAGGGAGAAATGAGCAACGAATTGCAATGTGGCCATCCCCCATGGGGAATGCTTCCCCTCATCATCCCTCTCCAGGAGCCCACGTGCTTTTGACTAATTATGAAGGGGAAAAAAGAGCATTACACAGTACACCCTCCTGCTCCTCCCCAAGGAAAAGAACAACATTAAAGATCTCAATTTTTAAAAAAAGAAAGAAAAAAAAAACTGGTAGAAAGGTTTTCGTACGCATAATGAAGGTAAAAATGAAGGAAAAAAAGTAATCTAAAAAGATAAAAAAAATTGTAAACTTTATATGCTATATACATTACAAACAAAATTCAGTTAATATGTAGGGGGGAATATTTTCAATGCGTATAACATATAATCTTAATGGTTAAAAATAAAATTTCTTAACCTGAACGACATACTTTTTTTTCTTTTTTTAAATTCCTGCCATAGGGCACATGCCCCAACGGAAAGAGAGAAAGTAAGAAATCACCCCCAGGGGAGATGACCACATGGCAATCCCTTCTCCTTTATTCTCCTTTCAGAATTTGGGGCACACATATACAAGCGCCCAGTGGGGTCTAGACTTGAACCACAAAGTCAGCCATGTAGGATCCAGCGCCTTAACCACCATGCCACCTGCTGGCCCCAGGTTATTTTTCACAAACCAAATCAATTTCCCCTCCAAAAGCACAAAGTGGTATAATTTTAATTAATTAAAAGCATTTCTGAAACACTGTGTGCTAAGCATGAAGAGTTGGGGCCTTTGGTGGGTGATTAGGTCTCAAGGGCCGAGCCCTAATGAATAGAATTGGTGCCCTTACAAAAGAGGCCCCAGAAAGTTGCCTTCCCCTCTCCCCTGTGTGAGAACACAGTGAGAAGGTGCCATCCTGAACCAGGAAGTGGGTCCCTGGCACACACCAAAGTGCTGGCATCTTGACCTTGGATACCCCAGCCTCCAGAACTGTGAGAAATGAATTTCTGTTGTTTATAAACCCTCTGTTCTGTGGTCTTTTATTACAGCAGTCCAAATAGATCAAGATAGCACTTCACAAATATGTAAAGTAGATCCCAAGATGGTCCTCACTGAACTAAGATAAAAGGTGTAGGTCACTGGTTTTATTTAAATGTTTCTGCATTAACAACGCAGACATTAAAGTGGCCTCAGTAAGTAATTCAACTTTCTTCACTACTCACTGGCCCAATTCCTTTTTCCTTCTTCAATAATAACTGGAGGGAAAACAATAATAATAATAATAATAGCTACAAAAAAGGGGGGAAATGACTTCATAAAAAGCAGTACTACAAAAAAAAAAAAAAAAAAAAAAAAATCAAACCATTCTCAGCTAACCAGGTAGTTCTCAACCTTAGGACACATGTAAAATATATTTTTCTGGTCCTCTCTGACAAGTATTCTACTTTAGCAAGCTTCTCAACTGGGGTCCAAGAAATAGAATTTTTTCAAGAGGTCACTAACTGGGGAAAAAAAAAATCACTTAAAATTTAAATGATCAAAATGACCACCATATTAGCTATAATTTTATTGTGCCAGGCACCATACTAAGTAATCTATTCTATCTCATTTCAGTCCTTACAAATAACCCAATAACATTTTTTTTTAAAAGATTTTTGCCATAGGGCACATGTGCTTGCCAGAGAGAGACAGAGTCAAGACAAAGGAAAGTAAGAAATCACCTTGGGGGGATGGCCATGCCATAAATCCCCTCTCCTCCATTCTCCTCTCATGATTTTGGGCATATATATACACATGTACCCAGTGTTTTTCAAGCTGCTGGGTCCAGAACTCCAATCATAGTTGGCTATGTGGGATCTCACACTTTTTCTTGAGAGAGAGATTTTTGCCATAGGGAGCATGTGCTTGCCAGAGAGACAGACAGAAACACAGAAAATGAGAAACCATCCCCCAGAGGGGATGGCCATGCCGCAATCCCTTCTCCTCTTATTTTCCTCTCGGGATTTTGGACACACATGCACCTGGCATCAGCTGTAAGCTACTGGGTCCAGGACTCAAACCGTGGTCTACTATGTGGGAGTCCAGCGATGTAACCATTATACCATCTGCTGGCCCCAAGATCCTGCATCTTAACCACCATGCCACTT